ACTGCCTACGCAGGGGTCCACAGCGGGCAGGGCCGGAGGGGCGACCGCTGGAAGAAATACCCGAACATGACTTAACAGCGGAATAGACAGACACAACGGCACCAATTATAGGACAAGACAAATGGCTGACTGAGACAGCTGAATGGTGACTGGTAACACTGCTGCTTACGTTTGGGCGCCGGGAAGCAGATCGAGAGGGAATCCCCCGTGTACTGGGCGGGACAGGAGCAGACGGGGTTGTGGTTGATCACACGGCACTCCGCGTCCACGCCGCACGCCAAGGTACACGGGTTCACACACCTCCGGCTGACGCAAGCACGGTTCGCTTGGCACTCGGAGTTTACAACGCATTCGGGGCGGCACAGGGGCGGGGTGCCGACGTAGGTGGGGGCGCAGGAGCAGCGGGGGATGCCGCCCACGTCGCGGCACTCCGAGAAGGGCCCGCAGGGAGAAGGGTTGCAGGCGGAGGCGGGGGAGGGGGCCGGGGGAGCTGGGGGGAGGAGGCATGCGGTTAACTCCTTCCTCTCCACAAAATGCATGCGCATTGAACCTGATGCTACTGTGAGATGTTTATAATAGGTCATGCAAATAGAACAGAGAGATAAACCATCATGCAAATAGAAAAAGAGTTAGAGAGCCTACGTGTAAAGAGGAAACATGCAGAGTAAGGGTCGCCGGAATAGCCTTCTTTGCAGGCACACTGGGGGCGATGCATGACTACCATGCACGAGGCACGGCGGCCACACGTGCCCGGGCACGGATCCACACATCGCTGGCCCACGCATGAGCGGTCCAGGCTGCAATCCGTGTCTCGCTGGCACTCCGGCCGGCAACCCAGGTAGGGGTTGCCGACCAGGCCGGGGAGGCAGGCGCACACGGGGAAGCCCTCAGTCACGCGGCACTGCGTGTTGGCGCCGCACGGCCCGGGGTCGCACGGGTCGCTCGCCTCGTCTGTAACTTGAGAGCCACAGCGCGTTACAAAGGGCCTCGGCGGCGAGAGCCAGATTACACACGTGCATATGCCATCACCAAAAGCTAAAGGAAAGGACTCTTACTGGTGGCCGTCGGGGGCAGCTGCGGCACGGGGCGGCACCGGGTGAGGGGGTCCCCGGTGAAGCCCGGGGGACACGTACACACAGGCCGATGGTTCACCACGGTGCACTCAGCCTCCGGCGAGCACGAGCCCGGACACGGGTTCACGCAGCGTTGCCGTACGCACGCCAGCCGCACGGCGCAGTCCGTGTGCACCACGCACTCGGGCCGGCACCCCAGGTACGGGTTGCCGAAGTAACCTGGGGCGCACTCGCACACCTCCCGGTCCAGCTTGACCTGGCACCGAGCGTTGGTGCCGCACGGACTGGGCACGCACGGCACAGGCTGCGGGGGCGGGGGCACAGGACGAGTGGGCCGTGAGCACCGCCTGTAGGGGTCTCCCAGGAGGCCGGGGTCACACCGACAGACGGGGCTATGCGCCACCACCACGCACTGCGCCCCTGGGCCGCACACGCCCGGGCACGGGTCGCTGCACCGGTGGGCCACGCACGCCTGGTGCGCCGGGCAGTCGTTGCTGACCACGCACTGCAGGCACAGCGCGGCCGCGCCCTGCACTGTGCACACCTCCCAGGGCAGGCACGGCGAGGGCGAGCACGGCGACGCCGTCACGGACGTGGAAGCTGAGCAGGTGGAGAAACATCATGCAGGGATCATGCACAGGGTAAAGAGTTGTAAATATTTTATTGCACATGCACTTTGATAAAAAAGGAGCCAGGTCTCGTAAAGAAAGAGAATATACAGCACATATATGGAAGAATGCATGCAGGTCTAGTAGGGATAAAAGTCTGTATAGCAGATGTATTTACATGCTTATGCTGCCGTATGTACGTATAAATATGTATATATGTAGCAGATATATGTGTATAGATTGTACGTGTGTGTGTGTGTGTGTGTGTGTGTGTGTGTGTGTGTGTGTGTGTGTGTGTGTGTGTGTGTGTGTGTGTGTGTGTGTGTGTGTGTGTGTGTGTGTATATATATATATATATAACACACACACACACACACACATATATATGTATGTGTGCGTGTGTACACATGTAAACCTCTGGGCACGGGATGCCGGCGAGACCGGCTCCCGACGCAAAGGCGACGCGACAGGGGGGGGGGCACAGAGGGAACTCACAGGGCTGTAGCACTGGGAGTAGGCGTCGCCGGTGAGTCCGGGCGGGCAGGAGCACCGAGGCCGGTGGAGGATCACTGGCACACGGCATCGTCTGCGCAGGTCCCTGGGCACGGGTCCACGCACCTGTGGCTGCGGCAGGTGAGGTGGCGAGGGCAGTCCCGGGGATGACGCACTCGGGGCGGCACCCGAGGTACGGGTCACCCTCGAGGCCGGGCTTGCACGTGCACACGGCAGCCCCGCCCACCTCACGGCAGTCGGTGTTGTCGCCGCACTGGCCACTCGAGCAGGGCGACTTGTCTACGGCTACGTGTTGGAGAGAGGAGGTCGTCAAGACACATGCTCAAGGAAGAGAAATGAAGGACAGAGTATAGACATGCACTACACATTTAGGAAGCCATTATCATGCAGGAGTGAGAGAGATATCATGCACATGCTCACATTGAATGGGGGTTGGGGTTGGTCGGCAAGCAGAGTAGGGGTCTCCCATCAGGCCTCGGGCACGCGCATACGGGACGGTGCTGGAGGACCTGGCATGTGGCCAACAGACCACATGCCCCCGGACACGGGTCCACGCACCTCCGTCGTACGCACGCGCGGTTGTTCGGGCACATGCTGTCTGTTTCACATTCGGGGGAACACACTGACGAAGGGGTTTCCTTGTAGCTCGGGGGACACGAGCACTCGGCGCGGGCCCGACGCTGCGGCACAGGGCGTTCGTCCCGCCGGGGAAGGCGAGCAAGGGCTCGACATCGGGGGCTTCGGCGCCGCTGCGAATGCAACACCAACAACCTTTAGCATCTTGCCATCAGCACATACGGACACGCACACACACAGACACAACGATGACACACCCTTCGAGGATCCGTGGCGACACTTCCACCGGCGGACAGACTCACCTCGCGAATCTCGAGAAGACGTTCTTGCAGCTCTCATGGAGATGTTAGGGCATGCTATACACAGGGGAGTTAGAGAGCGAAACCAGAGCCAACACTTACGTTTGACGCATCTGACGAAGGGGTCGCCGGTGAGGTCCTTGGGGCAGAAGCAGATGGGGTTGTGGTTCACGACCTCGCACTCCGCGTTGACCCCGCAAACACCCACACAAGGGTCGCGGCACTTCTGTCTGTTGCACGCCAGAGCCAGAGGGCAGTCGGAGTTGAGCACGCACTCGGGGCGGCAGCTGGGGGCGAGGGGGGGACAGGGGTGAATTTTCTGCTCTCTTTCTTCTAACTTTGAAATGAAGAGGAAGAAGGTGGGAGGGAGGAAGGGGGAGAGGGAAGAGAAGGAGGGAAAGAGGGAGAGAAAGGGAGGAAGGGAGGGGGGCAGAAAGAGAAAGGAAGAGAGAGAGAGCAAGAAAGATAGAGAGCAAGAAAGAAAAGAGAAAGAAATGAGACAGGAATAAAACGCAACCCAAACAACACTTACGACGGAGGGAAACCGAGGAATCCGACAGACAGGACACTGCGCCTGCCAGCCACGACCTGCACTCGGCATTGGGACCGCAGGGGCTGGGTTGACATGGGTCCTCCGGTGTGGGTTTGGGCTCCGGTTCGGCTGTTGGGGGAGGGGGAGAACCGGAAGGAGAGATGAGTTACGGTTCGCTAAGGAGATTCGTTGGGATGTGAGAGTTGTTTGGGTGATTCGGGGATTGGTATGGGTTGAGGTTGACTGGAATTTTGATGTTTTTTTTTTTTTTTTTTTTTTTTTGTGTGTGTGTGTGTGTGTGTGGTGTGTGTGTGTGTGTGTGTGTGTTGTGTGTGTGTGTGTGTGTGTGTTGTGTGTGATGTTGGTGTGTGTGTGTTGTGTGGTGTGTGTGTGTGTGTGTGGTGTGTGTGTGTGTGTGTGTGTGTGTGTGTGTATTAATAAGGAAAATATGGGGAGAGTGTCAGATTATAAAAACTAATGAATAAAAATGCCGAGTCTGATGCTTGATTACAAAAAAAAAAGATTTAGCAGCGATACTAAAATCAGATACACTTTTATAAATGGCCATATAGTCACAAAAGTCATAGAATAAAAGTCCAGGTATTTCGTTTGTTAGAAATGCTACATTAACATAACTTCTACTGAAGAATTAGTGATCAAGGTTATTCTAGACAAGGAAAAGTTAAATATTGAACTCTTGTTAATGGTCTGACGTTAATTCCTTATTTGGCATAAATCAGATGATGATACAAGAATAATTTATATCAATATTAACAGAAGTTAGTTATGATCGAGATCCGGTCTGTTATTTTCTTTATCACTGTTAAATACGAAATATTTAATATGGACGAAATATTTGATGTCATTTACATTCTGGGTTATTCCATGCAAAAAGGCAATTCAATCTGTAACAAAGATATGAATGGATTAAAATGAAACCGTTCTCGCTTCCCGCGAAAATGAGATTATTTGTTAAAATACGTCATGCGATTATGAGTGCGTCATGGAGAGGGAAACCGAGAGGCAGGTCAGAGGCCATCGCCAGTCGTCAGTTATCGGTCGGCAGCGGTCGCTTACGTCGGTCGATGAGCAGCGCGAGTACGGGTTCCCGTGTAGCCCGGCGGGCAGTAGCAGCTGGGCTGGTGGCCGAGCACTCGGCAGTCGGCGTTGAGGCCGCACGAGCCCGGGCACGGGTTCACGCACTTGTTGTTGATGCACGCACGGCTCGGAGGGCAGTCGGAGTTGACGGTGCACTCGGGGCGGCAGCCCTCGTACGGGTTGCCGAAGTAGCCGGGCTGGCAGGAGCAGGAGAGCGGTCGCGGTCGACGGAGCACACCGCCGCAGGGCCGCAGGGCGAGCCGGCGCACGGGTCCTGCGGCGGGCTGGACGGTGTCTCGACCTCCGGCGTCACTACCAGGTCGACTGCCGGGGACATACGGTCATGCACTACACTTGCCGACACTGCACTAACTCATGCACAGTATGGACAAAATGCAAAAGAAATCTATAGACATATATACACACTAAACACACGGGAGAGAGAGAGAGAGTGCAGGGGAGGGGGAGGGGCTTACTCAGGGTACACCGATAGATGGGGTCGCCGGTGTAGCCGGCGGACACCTGCAGATGGGGTTGTGCGCCACCACGTCGCACAGCGCCTCGAGGCCGCACGTGCCCACGCACGGGTCCACGCAGCGCCGATTGATGCACGCGCTGTCCATCGGGCAGTCGGCATTGGCGACGCACTCGTAGCGACATCCCGAGGGCTGGTTGGGGTTGCCGAAGGTACCCGGGCGGCACTCGCACACGGCCACGGTGCCCTGCACGCGGCACTGGGCGTTGGCGCCACAGGGGTCGGGCACGCACGGGTTGGTGTCCGCCTCCGGTTGGACCGCTACGGAGGGGGGGGGAGGGAGAGGAAGAGTAAAGCATACGCTGTGACAACTCAGGGAAGGAGTGCCGTGCAAGAGTTGACAGGGAAAAATTATATACACATGAACACTTTCCAGAGAGGACCCTCTAAACAAGATGCAAAGGAGAAATGACAACATTCAGGAAATCATATTATTTACATTCAGGACACAAGCCTCGGGCAGAACACGTTCACACATCGCAAAAGCAAGGGTCGAGGGCAGGAGGGGAGGACGGACCGGAGAGGGAGGATAAAGGAGAGAAGGGGGACGGAGTGTTAAGGGGGGAGGGGTGAGTGGGGGGGCTCAGCGAAGCAGCCTTACGTGGCGGCGGTCTGACGCGGCAGTCGGTGAAGGGGTCGCCCGTGTAACCTTCGGGGCACGCGCACACGGGGTTGTGGCTGACGACGGAGCAGAGGGCGTTGTTGCCGCACGTGCCTGGGCACGGGTCTCGGCATTTCTGGCTGATGCACGACAACGTGAGCGGGCAGTCACTGCTCACCAGGCACTCGGGGCGGCACTGCACGCGCGCATCTCCAAAGAATCCGGGGAGACACGTGCAGTACGCCACTGTGCCTGACGCTGTGCACGCGTGCGTTGTCCCGCACGGGTCGGGGTGGCACGGAGTCACATGCGTCGGAGGCAACACTGGAAAATCGTTCCGGAAATGTTGACGCCGTGTGCGTGTGAGGGGGAGGGGAGGCTGTGAATTCACGTATTTACACTCTATATCTACCACATCATGCTACTCACTATATACATACAAGAGGGAGAGGGAAAAGGAGAGGCAAAGAGGGAGAGGTGAGCGCCGTACCAGGTTCAGGAGCAGGATGACACGCCCTGAAAGGATCCCCGACGTATCCCCGAGGGCACGAGCAAATGGGGTTGTGGTTGAGGACGCGGCACTCGGCCTGCACGCCGCACGAGCCGGCGCACGGGTCCACGCAGCGCTGGTTGATGCAGGCACGAGTTGGCACGCAGTCGGAGTTGGTGATGCACTCGGGCGTGCAACCGAGCTCTGGGCGGCCGTAAAAGCCGGGGAGGCAGGCGCAAGTGCCCTTCCCTCCCACCACTTGGCACTCGGCGTTGGCACCACACGAGGGGGTGCAGGGGGCCGCGGGAGGGAAGGGGGTCGTCTCCAGGCCGGGGTCTAGAGGCGCTACACACAGACAGACAGGCATCAGAGACAGAACATAGGGAATAATTCTAAGAAAGGAGATCAAGCTAAATATATTACATGCTGAACAAAGCGTGCAACGGGTGATATGCATGACAATCATTCACAAAAGATGCAAAATTTAAATAAAAACAGCGCAACGGCCATCCGTACACTCGGCGCGTAAATTCAAGAAATCTGTAAAACCTGAAAATCTGCAAAAGCCAAAACACGTCAGCATTACGAGAGAGAGAGCGACCGGAGCAGCACTTGCCTTTCTCGAAGCAGCGGCTGAAGGGGTCTCCGGTGAGGCCGTCGGGGCACCTGCACACGGGGTTGTGCGCGACCACGGAGCACTTCGCGTTGATGCCGCAGGAGCCCTGGCAAGGGTCCACGCACTTGTAGTTGATGCAGGCGAGGGTCATCGGGCAGTCGGGGTTGATGGTGCACTCGGGGCGGCACGGCGAGCCGAAGAAGTTGGGCAGGCACGAGCAGATGGGCTTGTCGTCCGCACTCGGCGGCACTCGGAGTTGGCCCGCACGGGTTCGGCTGGCACGGGGCCGGGCGCGGGGCGGCGCTGGGAAGGAATGGGGCCGTTACGCCGGAAGGCCGAGGGGCTGTCTGGGGAACTGGAAATCGCAGGGGAATGGCAGAGGATGCGGGGGAGATAAACCAAGGCTAGTGATACTCACGTTTCTCCACACAGAACCTGAAGGGGTCTCCGGTGAGGTCCTTGGGGCAGAAGCAGATGGGGTTGTGGTTCACGACCTCGCACTCGGCGTTGACCCCGCAGAGCCCCGGGCACGGGTCGCGGCACTTCTGGTCGATGCAGGCCTTGTCGTCGGCGCAGTCGGCGTTGGTGACGCACTGCGGCCGGCACCTGTCCTTCGGGTCGCCGATGTAGTCGCCGATGCACGAGCACACGGCCGACTGGCCCTGCACGCGGCACTCGGCGTTGATGCCACACGGGGGCGGCACGCACGGGTTGGGGCGGCGGGGGGCGCCGGCTCCTCCTTGGGCGGGATGGGCTCCGACTTCTCCTCGCACCGGATGTAGGGGTTGCCCATGAAGCCGGCGGGGCAGAAGCAGACCGGGCGGTGGGTGTTGACCTCGCAGAGCGAGTTGATGCCGCAGGCGCCCGGGCACGGGTCCACGCACTTGGTGCTGATGCACGCCAGGTCGTCGCTGCAGTCCGTGTCGACGACGCACTCCGGCTTGCAGCCCTGGAACGAGTCGGCATCGCCGAAGAAGCCGGGGAAGCAGGCGCAGACGGGGTAGTTGCCGGTCGCCACCGAGCACTGCGCGTTGGGCCCGCACGGGGAGGGCTCGCACGGGTTGTCGGGCTGCGCCTCGCACTGCACCTTCGGGTCGCCTCGGTAGCCCTCGAGGCAGCGGCACTGCAGCTTATCGCCGCGGACGTAGCACTCGGCATTCTGGCCGCACACGCCGGGGCCGCAGCTGGGGGGCGGCACTGCAGGACGAGAAAAAAGGACATTTAACCAATGCAATGCTGCAAGGCATCTATCATTTTGCATAGAAAATATATACAACCTAAAACATATCCCAAGTCCTTGACGTAGGCCTACCTCTGCAGCCGGTGTAGGGGTCGCCGATGAGGCCGGGGCGGCAGTAGCAGAAGGACTTCCTGTTGGGGTCGCAGAGGGCGCCCTGGCCGCACGGGGACGGCACGCAGGGGTTGACAGGCGGCTCGCAGCCCCGGATGGTGTTGGGGTTGCCCACGTAGCCGGGGCGGCACGTGCAGCGGTGGAAGCCGTTCACCATGTTGCACTCGGTGTTGGGGCCGCACGGGGAGGGGGAGCACGGGTTGGAGGGGGGGCTGCACGCCACGCTTGGGGGGTTGCCGATGAACTCCGGCAGGCAGAAGCAGACCGGGGCGCCGCCCACCACGCGGCAGCCCGAGTTGGGGCCGCACGGGTTCGGCTCGCAGTCCTTGCCCTCAGGAACTGGGGGGGGGGGAGAACAGTATAGTCAAAGTGAAATGCAAGAACTGGGAAACACACACACACACACTCGCGCGCACACACACACACAACACACACACACACACACACACGCACACACACACACACACACACACACCACACGCACACGCACACGCACACATCCATACATGAATATACAAATGCCCGAAAGAGAGCCACTTACTGCACTTCTCGAAGGGGTTGCGGTCGTGCCTTTCGGGCACACGCAGATGGGGTTGCCGTTGTCGAGCTCGCAGAGGGCGCCCTCGCCGCACGGGTCGGAGTCGCAGGGGTTGATGGGCACTTGGCAGTTCCTGAGGGGGTCGCCCTGGTACCCAGGTGGGCATCGGCACGTGGCACGATGCTGCGTGACCTCGCACACGGCGTTGCGGCCGCAGCGACACGGGTCCTGGCACTGGTTGTTGATGCAGGCCTGGGTGGGCGGGCAGGCGCTGTTGTCGCGGCACCCGACAGCTGCGGGAACGAGGGCGGAGTTAGTGGCTGGGCGGCCTCGGGGAGGGGGGGGGTCAGTCTAGCTGCTGAGTGCGAAGCGCCAGAGGTACGCTTCTGTAATGTCAGGTCGATGTCGGTATTACAACGTTATATCAGTGACACATCTGTCATGTCGATGTACTTAGTCAGGACAGAAATAAAGGAAGAATCTTTGGAGACTCACTCTTAACAAGTTCAGGGGCGGGCAGTTTTATGAATGACTAAGATTCTCCAAACTTTACGGAGATTAATCAAGATATACTAAAACCATAAACAGCCCTCCTACGATTTGTCAAGAACGAGCTCCTTATCAGAATTATCGACAGTCAGTGCACGGAACGAGACATGGCGTCTATTGCCGAATTCTATCCTCGTGACAAAATGACCAAGTCAATCAGGCCTCTTCCCTTACGCACGACGGGGAAACTGTATAACGAAAATCAAATCAGTGCATCACTCTTAAACAGGATGGACTCGACGCCATGTCTGATCCCGAGACACCGACGCCGCGTCTGAACACCGATCGAAAGGGGCGCTCTCACTGAGTCCACAGACGACGTAGGGGTCCCCGAACTGGCCCGGCGGACACGTGCAGACGGGGCTGTGCTGCGCCACCGTGCACAGGGCGTCCGCGGCGCACGGGTTCTTCACCAGGCACGGGTCAAGGCACGTGCCCGAGATGCAAGCCTGGTCGGGCGGGCACGAGGTGTCGACAGAGCAACCGCCAGAGGATACTGAAGGAAGGGTTAGTGTAAGCTACTGGGAGGGTTGAGGAGCAGAGGTGGCGGAAGCCTGGGGGGGGGGCTTTCTCTAAGCTTAGTCTACGGCTCTTGAGGAAACTTTGGTGGATTAGATTGCGTGTCAAATTCTTTATTATCATTTGGTGTTTGGACTAATATTTGCAAACTACATGTACTGGTTTTTAGTTTTGTTTGGTTACTGAGTTATCATTTGTGATAAAGTTAAAGCAAAGTTGTAATTTAACAAGGATAGTGAATATGTTGCATGATAAAAAATACTGTTTTAAACTACACTACTGATGTTCAAGTATATAACTACATAGAATAAATGTTACACAAAGAACAGCTAACAAGTACTGTAATATTTGGATGAAAGTATATTTGTGGGAAAAATAAACAGTCAAGACAGATAGTCTAAGTGGGCAGAGACGACCTCTATAGGCAACTTTCTTTCTTTCTTTCTTTCTTTCTTTCTTTCTTTCTCTCTCTCGATGTATATGTATATGCAAACACACACACGCATGCTCACACTCACACATACATTTACATACATACATATATTATATATATTATTATATATATTATATATATATATATATATATATATATATGTGTGTGTGTGTGTGTGTGTGTGTGTGTGTGTGTGTGTGTGTGTGTGTGGTGTGTGTGTGTGTGTGTTTTATATATATATATATATATATATATATATATATATATATATATATATATATATATATTATATATACATACATACTATCATACATACATACATATATATATTTATATATATATAATATATATATATATACACATACAAGTGAATTATCACACGCGCGCGCGCACAGCCACGCAGGCCTGGGGTCCGTCCCTGGGTCTTACTCTGGTCACAGTCGTCTCCGGCGAGGCCCGCGGGGCACACGCACTCGGCGCCGCGCCCTCGGCTCGGCAGACCTTCCCTGGCGGGCACCGTATCGCCGAGCACGGCTCCGCGCACCGGCCGTACATACACGAGGTCCCGGGCGGGCACGTGTCGTTGCTGGGTGCACGCCTCTACGCGTTGCAAGCGAGTGGGGGGGAGGAGGGTGGGGGTGCCCGGGTTAGTTCGGAAGCTAGTTAACCGGAAGTACAGTGCGGTGTGGTGTCGTGGCGCTGGTGGTGTTAGTGGGGTGGTCAGGATGGTGTGCGTGTGGTGTTAAGGGGTGGTCAGGATGGTGTGCGTGTGGTGTTTAATGGGGTGGTCTGGATGTGGTGTGCGTGTGGTGTTAATGGGGTGGTCAGGATGGTGTGCGCGTGTGGTGTTAGTGGGTGGTCAGGATGGTGTGCGTGTGGTGTTAATGGTGGTGGTCAGGATGGTGTGCGTGTGGTGTTAATGGGGTGGGTCAGGATGGTGTGGCGTGTGGTGTTAGTGGGTGGTCAGGATGGTGTGCGGTGTGGTGTTAATGGGTGGTCAGGATGGTGTGCGTGTGGTGTTAATGGGGTGGTCAGGATGGTGTGCGTGTGGTGTTAGTGGGGTGGTCAGGATGGTGTGCGTGTGGTGTTAATGGGGTGGTCAGGATGGTGTGCGTGTGGTGTTAATGTGGGTGGTCTGAGGATGGTGTGCGTGTGGTGTTAGTGGGGTAGTCAGGATGGTGTGCGTGTGGTGTGTGGAGTGGTCAGGATGGTGTGCGTGTGGTGTCAGTGGAGTGGCCAGGATGGTGTTTCGGTGGAGTAGAGCTTGTGATGGAAAGTGTGGGAAGAGGAAGAGTATGTACGTGTTCGATACAGTGTTATGGGGAAAGTGTATACTTAAAGTTTACACCTTTGTACTCCGGAAGTTATTGAACACGTATAAAGCTTAAAGGACGCCACACATTTGCAATAAGCCGCACATCTACGCGGAAAACCCCTAATGGCCACCACAGTATGATGGAAGCGCTAACCAAAAACTTTTTCCCAATTTAAGCCACTAAAAATAACCACTTACGAAAAGGGAATTGAGTAGTTGGGAAAGACAAAACTATCCTTACATAGCGGTTAATGCCAAATAAAAGTAAACCCTACTGAGCTTCTAGTTATAAATGAACACACACGTACATACATACATACGTACATATACATACATGTGTTATATATGTATATATATAATTATATAATATATAATATATATATATATACATATATATATACATATCATATATATACATTATATACATATATACATACATACATACATACATAATATATATATATTTATATATAATATATATTTAGTATAATATATATATATATATATATATATACACACACATCTATATCCATATATATAAGTATATAAATATACATATATCCATATATATCCATATATATATAATATATATATATTATATATATATATATAATATAAGAATATATATATAATATTATAATATAATATATATATATATATATTTCTATTATATGTATTATATTATATATTTTATATATATATATATATATATATATATATATATATATTTCTATTACATGTATATATATATATATATATATATATATATATATATATATATATATATATATATATAATACACATAAGTACACCGAATGTAAACCTCTATGTTAACCAAATCCCGGAATGGCCATCATAATCACCACCTAACTTTTAGCTCAGCAAAAAAGGGTAAACAAAATCTACCCTGCTTGCCCGTTAATAAGCCCAAGGACAGAGGACACACAACAAAAAACAACAAAAAAAAAGATGACGTCACAGGGCAGACCACGCCGCCGCGGGTACTCACGGATGGCGCACTCGATGTAAGGGTTGCCGCTGTACCCCGCCGGCACTCGCACCTGGGCTGGTGGTCGATGGCCTGGCAGAAGCCGTGGGGGCGCAGGTGTCCTCGTCGCAGGGGTCGATGCACCTGCGCGAGAGCCGGTCGCACGCCCTGTTGGAGGGGCAGTCCCTGTTGTACTGACATCCCGGCTGCGGAGTGCTCGCTAGGGGGAAGAGAACGGGGTTGTGTCATTAACAGGGCCACGGGAGAAGACGCTTGCGTGGCCCGAAGGGCGACCACTTCGAGGAGGAATTTTTGAATGGTCGAAACCTCAATGAAAGTCTTCAGTGCTTTCGAGGACGAGAGAAGATTGTTTTTTTTTTCTCTCTCGATGCGAAGTTCGTTTTTTCATGTGAAAGGAAAATGGATATTTAAAGACGGATTCATGGTCAAGCTTTATAAATAAGAAGTCAACAGAAACAGTCTATGAAAACGTCAAGTCTGTCGGAAAGTTTCTGGAAAGTTTAGATGTGTTGTGTTTTTAAAGGGGAGACTATAGTGTTTTTGGTTTACTAAATCATGTGGAGAAATATTTTGAGTGAAATGCATTCACTTGTGTAAACATCTTTACTCCTTATAAAAGAAAGGAAGACAATGAAAACGAGAACCATATCACAAAGAAAACGCCAAGAACCGACTTTGAACCAACGTGAAATTACCTGAAAAGAAAAAATCGTGCACAGAAAACGGAGACCATGCGGCGATTCGCGGGACAAATTTCTTTTTTTTTCGTCATGCAGTAAAATTTTGTTGTTAGTGCTGAGTGAAAGTTGAGAGTTGTGTGCCCGGAGGCGCCGCCGGAGAGTGGGCGGTTTTTCGCGGCACACGAGAGCAGCGTAGTCGAGTCAGAGGTCATGCGAAGCCGCACGTGCCCGGAGCCAACCATGAGGGAAGGAGAGGGAAGGGAGGCGCCGAGTAAACACGGTGGGGGTGCACAGGCAGAAGAGGAGGGTTACCTGGGAGCACAGGTCGCGGGGGTCTCCCTCGTACCCGTGCGGCACTGGCAGATGGTGCGGTGTTTATGACGCGGCAGCGAGCCCCCACGCCACACGGCGGAGGCACTGTAGTGCAGGTCGGGGCCGCACTCCCCCCGCACACACGCCTCCTGAAGCTGGCACTCGATGTCCGAGGAGCAGTAGCGGGACTGAGGGTCAGAGTCAGGTGGGTTGACGAGGGTCAGGGAGTAGTCAGACAGTAAGGCAAGGAATACTGAGGCAGTCATGCGCTCAAAGGCAGCGCAGAGCTAGAAAATGAAGCTACAAAGCTAGAGTTTAAATGTCATGAAATTATGGTTTGTGAAACAGATAGCTTAGAAGCAGGTCTTACTTGGGCTGCAAGCAACACTTGGGTTTCCTGTGAAGCCTCGGGGCAGAGGCAGAGAGCCGTGGAGCCAGACAACTGGCACAACGCCCCCTGCCCGCAGTCCGTGCACGGGTCCACACACCGTCCGCCACGGCACCACTCTCCCAGCGGGCAATCCGAGTCGCCCTCACACCCGCTGCGGCTGCATCCCACTCTGGGGTCTCCTGTGAACCGGGGGACACAGGCAAACTGGTCTGTGAGTCTCCACGGTGCACACAGACCCCTGTGGGCACGGGCGGCCTCACAAGGGTCAGTGCACACCCGCTCAATGCAGGCCTGTCGAGAGGGCAATCGGAGTTGAAGCCGCAGAGGAGAGGTGAGCAGCCCTGGAGGGGGATTCCGTGTGGCCGGGAGGCACATGCACGTGGCGGCGTGGTTGAGGGCAAGCAAGTCGCGGACTGAGGGCAGGGGTTGCTGGCGGGCCGCACGGGCTCACGCACTGCCCGCTGTAGCACTCCTCCGTCAAGGGGCAATCGTCAGGGGTGAAGCAACCCACTTGTGTCGGTCACCGCAGCGCAGTCAAGTCAGTCAGACAGGCAAGAAGGCACACAGGTTACTATCATTATATGCATATGTTACCTAATATAAAATATTGCAACACACGTGTACTTATTAGTATCTGCTTCATTCATTAGTGTTTACTAAACCAACCAAATCTATTTTGGGCCGAATTCTACCAATAATACATACGTTGTTAAGATGATTTCGTTACTAAGTTGTTAAGCTAATGTGTAGTATATAAGATTCAACAAAAAAGAGATTCTTTAGATTTCTACTTCTGAGTAAACAAAACCGAGGTAGAAATGGTCAACATTTTTTAAGTTATCCCTAAATAGTGTAGAAAACCTGGATAACAGAAAATGGTTACTTTCTGTTCCTGTCGGGGGTAACTAACTTACCGGGAGTGCATCCTTTAAGCGGATCACCCTGGAAGCCGTTGCGGCACCTGCATTGGGCACTATGCTCACTGTTGATGCACTCAGCATTTACTCCACAGGGGTCATCCTCGCAGGGTACCGACATTCGTTGTTAATACAAGCTTGTGTTGAGGGGCAGTCACCATCGCCACGGCATCCCGTAACTGAGAGGGGTTAGGTTAATTTGGATTCTCCCAATGTTATGTTACCGAGGTTGCCCCTCTCGATTAATATTGCCAAATGTATCATGATATGTGCAAATAAAATTAGATAAATTAGTGAGTATACGACAATGAATCCATCAAAATGGAGGGTGTAAGCATGCAGGTACTAAGTATGAGGACACACGAGAGTATACTGATGACAGGATTAACAAGAAGCAAGAAGCAACGTCTTACATATATTGTCAACTCCGCAGAAAACATAAGGATTTCCCGAGTAACCCGGATTGCAGGTGCACACGGGTCGATGCGAGACTGTAGTGCAAGTGGCCTTGGCCGCACAAGGATTGGCAAGGCCGCACGGGTCCTTGCAGTCCCGATTATAGCAAACTTTGGTCTCGACACAATCGAAGTCTGAAGTGCATCCGGGAGGACGGTTGGTGCTAAGGTCAAGAGAGGAAGAAGGTCAGTCTAAGGTCATTGGCACTTACCTCAGGGAGCCCCGAAGCCCTATGACGAGGTGTCTTCTCGGGTTTCGGGGCCGCCGGATGTCATATCGTCAACAAAATCAACAACTAAATATACGCTCAAAATACTCGATACGTCACACATGCATGCACGTACACATACAGATGCCAATATGTCATTGATAAAGAATTTGCTACATTTACACATACAGCAAAGACAGGTACAACAAAGTCTACAAACAATCAATAATGTACAAAATCCACAAAAAAGCTTACGTGTAAATGAAGCAAAATTGGCTGATACAAAATGCATACGTTTTTTCCCAACTTTTACAGTACTCAAGCTCGAGCAAAAAGAAAACAAAACGTGCAATGAAATGCAACAACGAAGGAAATTTTCCTCGTTACTACGGTCATGGTTCGTGTTTGTCGCGGGAACTGTGAAACTTTGGCATAATCTCTTTGGCAGAAAACTTTTAAGCGCACACACACAGACACAGACGCATGCCCGCACGCACACGCACACACACACACACACACACACAAACGCCCGCACACGCACACACACTCATATACTTATGCAGTTAAAGGTAAGAGCTGGGAGTACCTTTGAGGCACTCTTGGCGGGGGTTACCCGTGTACCCCGCGGGACAGGAGCAAATGGGGCGGTGTAGCGTCACAGCGCACACGGCGTTGAGTCCACACGGGGCGCCAACCGCGCATGGGTCAACGCAAGAGCCACCTCGACAGCTCTCCGCGAAAGAGCAGTCGGAGTCTCTCACGCACTGAGCGCTCGGTGGGACGCTAGGGGGCCGAGGTGTGGGTGTAGGAGGGGGCGTGTGGCAGGTGCTGGGGGGGGGGGGAAAGGCTTAGGTCATGTTTCTTTGGTGTCTGTCAGAAGAATGTGCTAAATGGCAATGGTCACTGCTGAGTCATACTTACGCTGTGCAATATAGACTGTGGTCGAAATGCATATGGAAATACAGTACATCAGAAAACGGTGATCAATATCTACGCTACAGTACTAGAAGAACGTCGTTTGCAATTGGTATTCATTTCTACAAAAATCGAAAAAGCTTGATGCAGCTGAAATAAAAGAACATTCCTAATTCTAAGTCATTCACACATACGCATGCAGAAACAAAAGTGGAAATCGGAAAACGGAAACGGAAAAATAAAGAAATACGAAAAATATACGAGAGTTAGTGGTAGAGAAACGACCTCCATAAACAGCTAAAAAATGTTTTCATATGTTCTCAACGTTCTACTTGTTTGACAAAACTCCTGGTTCGGCTCTCTCTCTTGTGTGAGACCATGCCTAGTACCTGTCTTTGGAAGGCACTCCGTCAGGGGGTTACCACGATGACCAGGTACACAGGTACACATGGGGATGTGATGCACGGTGTGGCACTGAGCCTTGTACCCACACTTGGATACAGAACAACCGTCCACACACACCCCGCCGTAACACAGCTGGGTGTCCTTGCAGTTATAATTGTCCTTGCAGGTGGGACTTCCTGCAGAACCTGGAGGTAACTTGGTGACAAGGAAGGGCATGATAAGGGCAGGGATAAAGGTCACAAGGGGGATATGAAGGGACATGGAAGTATCATTCTCCGTGGATGAAACCACTGTTCCAACGGGCGATCCAGTAGTCCCACCAACGCCCCCAAAGAAGCTGCCGCCGTCATCATCGCCGAATGGGAGTCCTGCGGTTACTCCGGTTATCCCAGGAGGCAGGGTCCCGTCGTCATCAAATCGGTCAGCAACCACCGTCGTTGTGGGCACTTCGGTGACAGTCGGGAAATTGATAAATGGACCCGGGGTGATAATACCGTCAAATGTCCCTCCAGTTACATCGGTGGGAAAGTCATCTCCATCGTACACAGGCGTGTGCACAGG